AGTTTCTCCTTCAAGAAAGTGTAAGAGAGTTGCTCAAAGTGAATATGAGAAAAAGAAAGTAACCAGATACCATAATTAACTGACAAGCAGAAAATATATCGGGTATTTTCAGTTCGCAAAAGAAGTCATATTACTAGTGGTACCCTGAGATTTAAAGGCAAAGTACACGGTCTAAAGATGCTAGCACTGACTTCAGCAAGGCTGCAGTTGCTCTGAGGCAGAGAGAGCAAGCCTGGGCTACTGGGTCAAGGAGATGAGTGGGTCACTGATGCTTGCCATGTTGTCAAGTTTATGCCTGCGAGCATGGCTTGACCTTGGCATGTTCATACCAAAAAAAATGTATGGCCATGTGGGAAGACTCGGTTTGGACTGTTACTGGGCTTCTCTGTTCCAGTTGTTCTACTGATGTGGAAGATTTTGCCCCAGGGATTCTATTTATGAATCATATATAATGTAGGCATACTAAGGCTCCTATCAGCTACAATTTGAATCATGTGTAAGAGGATTTTCTGTGACTTCTAAAAATAACCCTCTTAAGTGTATTTGTCTGACAGTTCCAGTTACAGAGTAGATCCCTCCCCCACTACATGCATAGGGCCTTTGTCCCCAGAGAAAGAAAGGGTGTCTTCTGGTAATGGTCCCATAAGAACAACGACGAGTTGGAACTTGGGGAAGAACTGAGGATTGTTAGAAAGTCTCACTGCTTGAGTAAACCAAAGCAAGTCAAGTTCCCCTCCCTCAGCCTTCAACAGCTTCCTGTACACTCTCAGGTTTGCATTGTACTATCTTCTTTCATTCTCACACAATTGGACATTCTTACTTTAAGGTTCATGTACTTTTCTTTCCTTTTTTAACTTACTATCGAGTTGCCTTTCTTCTGGCTTTTCAAACAACTTTCAACTTTACTCCAAGGGATGTAATGTTCGCTGGTAGTAGGATTAATGGTAGACATGGTGAATGCTGGGTCTGAGATTTTACCCTCTTTCCGGCTAAGTAAGCTAGCCTGCTACTGTTTCATGGATGCTGAAGTCAAGAGACTCCTGGGTAAGAGACAAAGGACTTTATTACTCATGACAGAGCATAAGCACATCTGCCTTGGTTCTCATTGCTCCCTTGCCATGGAGGTGTCTCAGAGGGGTCCATGTGGATGCTGCACAGACAGGGGATTTGCATCCTAAGCTGAGCTTGGGAAGTTTGCCACTTTCATAGTGAAGGGAAGCCAGCCTGCTCTTTATCTGGGGAGACATGCTACCTCATCCCTCAAAGTTGCTAACTACCAACATAACCCTGAGAAATGACCTGGGATCAGAGCCATCAGGGCTTTGCCTCCTCTGCATACCCAGCAAGAATGTGCAGGGATGCTGAGGATTGTGGCACATGCCTCTCTGGGAGTGGTCCCACATGAACAAGAAAGCTGTGTTGCTGTCTGTATGCATTGGCAGTTTCCCTTTGGGAAGTTAGAGAGCGCAGGGAATTATTGGGGGTTGATGTCTCCCTTGAAGTTCTGTGGCTAGTTGTCCTGTTCTTAGCCAGTGTGAAAGGGGTCAGTGGCCCCTTTGCTTGCTTTATCTACATGTGTTCTGATTCATTGGCTCTTGAGTCTTTGGGAACAGAGGACTTTGGATTTTATATTTATTTGGGAACCAGATATTTTTCCAGAGGGCCATGAGGGTTTTGTTGTTGTTGTTGTTGTTGTTGCTAGGTTATTTTCTAGCACTCCTTGAAAATGTTCAGGCATATGTTGAAGATAATCTAAATTGGCAATTTCCCATTCCAACTTACTTTTCCAACTAAGTTCTCTATTTCAGTTGTGAACCCATTTACAAAAAGAAAGGACAAAACTCCCTTTATTTCGGCTTTTGGGTCTACTCAAAAATGCTATTTGGGCCAGGTGTGGTGGTTCACACCTGTAATCCCAGCACTTTGGGAGGCCAAGGTGGGAGGATCGCCTGAGGCCAGGAGTTTGAGACCAACCTGGACAACATAGTGAGACCCCATCTCTACAAAAATTTTTAAAAATCACTGGGCATGGCTGGGCATGGTACTTGAGCCTGTAATCCCAGCACTTTGGGAGGCCAAGGTGAGAGGATTGCCTGAGCCCAGGGGTTCAAGACCAGCCTGGGCAACTTAGTGAGACCTCATCTCTACAATAAATCACAAAAACTAGCCGGACATGGTGGCATGCACCTGTAGTTCCAGCTACTTGGAAGGCTGAGGAAGAAGGATCGCCTGAGCCCAGCAGGCCAAAGCTGCGGTGGCCATGAGCATGCCACTGCATTCCAGCCTGGGCGACAAAGAGTGAGACTCCAACTCAAAAAAAAAAAAAAACAACACTAGGCATGGTGCATACCTATAATCCCAGCTACTTGGGAAGCTGAGGTGAGAGAATTGCTTCAGCCCAGGAGGTAAGCTGTAAGCTGTGATGGTGCCCCCACTAACGCTCTCCAGCCTGGGCCTGACATACACACACACACACACACACACACACACACACACACACACACACTTTGAAATCTCATTCTCTCTCTCTCTCTTTCTCTCTCTCTTTCTCTTTGTTGTTGTTGATGATGGTGATAGAAATGAGGTCTTACTATGTTGCCCAGGCTGGTTTCAAATTCCTGGGCTTACATAATCCTCCTGCGTCAACCTCCCAGAGTGCCTGGATCTCAGGCATAAGCCACCACGCCCAGCTAAAGTCTCCTATTGAATCATATTCATTCTGTTTACAATTTTGCATCTTTATCCAGCTTTTTTTGTTTTTTAACAGAAAGTCTTCTGAAATGGCCTTATCTACTCTAGTTCTACTTTTCTTGTTCTCTACAGGCTGTTTTCTGAGTTTTGCACAGCGGGGCAGTTACATCTTCTCCTGCTCTTCATCATCTGCTGCTTTTGTTCTTTCTTCCCCATGCAAGATCCTAACCATGAAGTTAACTCATTGGTACATATCTGATCACCCAGGACAATAACTATCCAAAGAAATCCTGAATTCTGAAGCAAATATCTGTCTCCTGAAGTTTAAGAGAATTTAATTTAGCACTTAAATTTGGCACTCAGCTTGGCCCTAGTCCAGGCTTTAAATTCAACACTATAGATCTGTTTTCTGTTTTAGCACTCAGTGGAGTATTGTACAATGGCATTTTTCCTTTCCTGGGATAAACTCTAAGAAAGGAGTTGCTGTGCAGGAGCAGAAGGAGTGGATATGGGCAGGTGATTGGTAAAGACGGAACTGGGCAGAGAGGTTCACCCAGAGGATTTGAGTGGGAGGAAACCGAGGCCAAGGTATGCCAGTGACGGAAGCTGACTGTCGAATGATCAGGGTTTGCCTCCTAAACTTTTTAGAGCTCCTCTTAAATGTATTAATGTATTAGGTTTGACATGTCAGAAGTTCCCAGAGTTGTTGATGGTGATTGTTCAAGTTTTGCTGTGGGGAGGAGGCAGTTTGCCATTCACCAAAACAAGCACAAGTTAGGATTATAGTCGAAATTCATGAGAATACGGGAGTTCTGCCAGGGCAGTTGCAGCTTTGGCATAACAGACCCATGATAATCACTTTCAGTCAGTCAAGATTGTGTGCTTAGAACGGCATCTCAGTTTCCCCCAAGCAAACAGAGGCTAGATGGCCAGGTCATCAATGACCTGACAGTTGTTATTCCAGAATAGGGAGAAAACAAAGTGGCCTCCTTCCATGTGCGGGCAGAACAGGAAGACTTTATAAGGAACCCAAGAAAGGGTCTACCGAGTCGTCTGCATGAATTGGTCCCTCGTCTAATAGACCTCTGACCCCATTAGTCCTGAGAGTGAGCTGTGATTGATTGAGTTGGAAGCATGTAAGGCCTTTGTCTCCATCTGCTCCCCAGGAAGCACCCCCCTTATCCATCCAGCAGACACAAAGCAAGTCAGAGCACAACAAAACACATGAGATTAAATGGTGCATAATGGCCAAACAAAAGCAAAAGCAAAGCACACAACACTGAACATGCAGGTTAATGGTGCACCTCCAAATGCAGGTCTAATTCCCCTTCAGTGATCTAGCTGATAACAGTATTAGGCAGTGTGACAGCTCGATAATGCAAGGAAGAGTTCAGAGCTTTGCTGAACTGCACTCTTCTAGAAACCACCCTGAAGGATAGACAAAATGTGGGCACAAGAGGCTTGGTGAAGGTCATCTGTGGACCTAAGGCCCCCACAGAACACTGAGAAGAAAGGGTTTTCTAAAACAATCTTAGAGGAACTTCCATCATTACCAAAAGATGAGGTCACCACTCAATATCTTAAACCAGGCCAGACACAGTGGCTCACACCTGTAATCCCAGCACTTTGGGAGGCCAAGGCAGGAGGATCACTTGAGCCCAGAAGTTCAAGGCCAGCCTGGGCAATATAGTGAAACCTTGTCTCTACAAAAAATTAGCCAGGCATGGTAGCATGTGCCTGTAGGCCCAGCTATTTGGGAGGCTGAAGCCAGGAGATCAAGGCTGCAGTGAGCCATGATCATGCTACTATACTCCAGCCTGGACAACAGAGTGAGATCCACTCTAAAAAATAAATAAATAAATAAATAAACACGAGAGATTCTAAAGAGTTGTTTGGGGCATCTTCAGACGCCTAGTGGATATGTTGGTTGCTCCAGAGGTGGTTCCTAATGACCCATCCCATGATTATAGCCAAGAAGCCCATATTCATTTACACCTGTTCCTTTCCCCAAATGGAAAAGGACTCCTGCTCTAGAGAACTCAGCCCTGCCCTTAGGGAGCTCGTGGCCTGGGCATGGGGCATGAACCTTCTCACAGACAACTGTGACTAGCGTCTGAGGAAGCAGAGGGGCTAAGCCAGCTCTCTGGGCTTAGCTTCCCCTCACAACAAGTGGATCTAGACCCTGCTGTCTCCGAGCTCCTTCCCACCCAGGCAGTCTAGCCACAGGAAGAGGAACAGTGGCGGTCGCTGGCTCCATGAAGCTTCCACCTTTTCATCTCTCAGGCCCTCTCTTGTGTCTTCCTTCTCAGAAACGGGCAAGTGCCTTTCTCGGGCCAAGACCTCATCCCAGGCCCAGCTGTCCTGCAGCAAGATGGGTAGTGTGGAGAGCTGCTTCCTGTCCTGCCCAGCCCACACATTCTTCATGCCAGGTAACCCAGGCTGTCCCTGGGATGGGACAGGGTTATAGGAGGGCTTCTTCCCTGGGGTCCCACTGCTGCTCCCTGCTGTTCTCCAGACCCTGATAGCTGAGTGATCCTCAGCAGCTATGTGCTTTTCTGTAGGCCTGAGTGTCCTCCTCAGCAAATGCGGTGGGCTCTTTCCTGCCGGCCACTTACCTGTGGTCATACAGTGGAAACAAACTGGCATAAGGGCCAGTCCTGACTTCATGTCATTCAGCAGCCCCCTGGAGCCCAAGAATCTGAAGGCTCTGGGAGGCCCAGCTCACCCACTGGCCTCTCTGCAGACTCAGAAAACAGCTATATCCTGACCTGCGGTGTTCCAGGTTTCCAGGGCAAGACGCTACAAAAACGCAACAGCACCAGCTCTGGCACCGGGTCAAGCTGCTCAGGTAGTCCTTCGGCCTGTCCATGCTGCACTTACCTGGGTGACGCCTTGACTTTGTATCTAGCACCGTGTTGGGGGAGAGGGGCATAGCCAAGGGTCTGGGCCATGCCCAGTGTGTCCCAGGATACTGGAAATGAGACCGGACCAGATGAAGCCAGCAGGCTGTATGCTAAGTCCCAGCCGAGGGGCAGAGGGCCATGGGAGGGTCCTTCTAGCTCTAAGTCACAGTACGAGTGGTTCTGTGACTCTAAAATGCTGTGAATCCACAGACCTCAGATTGTTTCCGTGAAGTGAGTGGCATCTGCATGAGTCAGGGCTACTCTTAAAGACTATGCCCAAGAAGTGGCAAGGCACAGCACACACTCAGCCCTTTGGAAATGACCTGCCAGGGCCTGGTCAGCACAGAAAAGCCAGCACTTTTCCTAGCTTAGGAGCAGGGCTATGGCTTCAGCTGCTTCTCTTCTTCAGGATGCTGGATTCAATAAAAGATGGTGCATGTGTCTATGTGATGCATATCTGATGTGATTCTAAGTATCTTTGATTGTGGAATTCTTTAGTTCAAGGGACCATGATGGCCAGGCAGTGACCCACGCCTGTAATCCCAGCACTTTGGGATACTGAGGTAGGAGGATTGCTTGAGCCCAATAGTTCAAGACCAGCCTGGGCAACATAGCAAGACCTCATCTCTTAAAAAAAAAATCGAAAAATAAACCAGATGTGGTGGTTGTGCCTGTAGTCCCAGCTCCTCAGGAGGCTGAGGATGGAGGATTGCTTGAGCCCAGGAATTTGAGGTTGCAGTGAACCGTGATTGTACCACTCAACAGAGTAAGACCCCGACCCTGACTCAAAGAAAAAAAAGTCACAGGGCCATGATTTTATCTTTGAAGAAATCAGTGGTTCTGAGTATCTGTAATATTTCAAACCCCCTTCGTTTTCTTGCTCCGCTCTCTTTTCTGTTCTGCCCTCTTTCCTAAAGGCATAGGCCATGTTAATGGCTTTGGTGATGGGAGAGGAAGTGGGTGGCATTCCTTTCTTCCTCCATGGAGGACCTCTGGCTGGGTGGCCCCTGGACTTGAGCTTGCCCCTGCCATCCATGCATCACCTTTTATAGGCTTTGTAAGAGAGAGATTCTCCCACCCTGGGAGGTCTGTTGGGGGAAAATGACTCAGGCCAAACCCCAATCCCAACTCCAGGTGAATTTGTCCCTGGCAGCCCCTGTCCCCCACCACCTCCTTGCCCACAGGAGAGGCCACCACCTGGGGGAATTTTGACTTTCCCCAGATGCCACCACTACTGCCATCAAGCAGAAGGCTCGCTTCAAGATCAGAGATGCCAAGTGCCACCTCTGGCCCCATAGCCGGGAACGAGCAAAGGAGACTCCAAGGCAGCCACTGCTGGGTGAGTGAGCCCTGCTGTTGTCAACTCATACCAAGGCGTCAGTGGGGAAGTCTTCATCCCTGAGAGATCCCTGGGAGCAGGGAGTTCGGGGTCCAGTGGGGCTGGGTTTCCAAGAATGGGGCCCTCTCTGTACCCTCACCACCATGGTCCCTTAGTCCTAGGTGCCCTGTCTGGGGCCCTGTGAACAGCAGTGGTGTCTCTTGGGACAAAGACCAGCACTTGGGTGAAAAACTTGGGTTCCCTAGCATCCTTGGGGGGCACTGTCCCTCTCTCACTTAGAGTTAAATGAGAGCCCCCCAGAGCACGGGCTTTCTACATGAGCTGGTTGTGTCCTCATGGAAGAAATTACAGGGCTCATTTGATGGCTTTCTTGAATGAGGGTGGCCAAGAAGGACATTCCAGACTAAGGAAATAGCAGAAGGCAAGCTTGATAAGAAAGGCCTGGGAGGAAAGCATCCAGTTTTGTGTCCCTGAAGATTCCCCTTCAAACCCGCTAGGACTCTGCACTCAGCAGGCCCTGAGCTGGGGCGCATAGCCTCATTCATGAACATGAACAAGGCAACTCCACATGTGGTGGTGTGATGGCCTCAGGGTTGGGCGTGAGACCAGGCTCAGTCACCAACCCCTCCTGAGACCCCAAGGCAGCCCTGGCCTTCCCCAGCCTCAGTTAGGCACCATTAGGCCCAGGGAACCCTTACCAATAACAATCTGTGTGTAGGGCTAGGTAGGACCTTGCTTCCTTCCCCATGCCGCCTTTACCACAGTAGTCCTTTCCCTGTCCAGAAAACTGCCACGTGATTTTTGTGACCCTCAAGTGTGATGCCTCCAAGAAGAGGCGCCGTGGCCGCAAGTCCCCATCCAAGGAGGTGTCCCACATCACGGCAGAGTTTGAGGTTGAGTCGAAGATAGAAGAGGCCTCAGGTGGGTGAAGGGTTTTCCTGTGGACTGATGCAGACCTGAGGGAGGGCAGCGAACTGAGGGGCTAGTGGGGGCCTACTGGGCATGAAGCTGGGCTCCCACCTGAGCCACAGCTGCTGGAGGCAGAATGTGCTCGCGAGCAAAGGGAACTGGCAGGGGTCAATGACTACAGCGCAGATGGAAGAGGCGGCCCAAGGCAATGAGAGGAGAGGGCTCAGGACACAGAGAGCCACGGGGACTCTCCCACACCTCCACACCCTTTACTGGGTTCTGGATGGTGAATATATGCAGCCTCCCCAGGACAGCTGAGCCAAGAACTCTTTCCCAGGCTTCAGAAGGGGGCTTATCATGCTGACTTGTTTGTCATACCAACATGTCCTCCTGACTGAAATTAGTGTTGAGTTGTGACTGAGGAGTTGAAAACTGTCAGCAGATGTGTGTGGGGTGTATCTAACCCTGGGCTTGAGCATCGTGAACAGAAAAGTCCCTTCCCAGGAAGCACTTCCAGCCACAGAGAGGCAGATGCACACACAAACTACCTGGTGCCAGGTGAGACTCTTGGTGTAGGGGCATGAGAACAAACAGCACAGAGCTGAGGTCTCTCCCCAAGGGAGGGGCTTTGGAAGTGTCTTAGTCTGTTTGTGTTTCCATAAAGGAACACTGGAAGCTGGGTAATTTATAAAGAAAAGAAGCTTGGCTTGGAGAGGAGGTGGGTAGGGGTGGGAGAGGGAAAAAAAAGAAAAGAAAAGAGGTTTATTTGGCTCATAGTTCTGTAGGCTGTCCAAGAAGCATGGCACCAGCCTCTGCTTCTGGTAAGGCCTTAGGAGTTCCCACTCATGGCAGAAGGGGAAGGGGAGCAGGTGTCACATGGCAGGAGAAAGAGCAAGAGAGAAAAGAGGAGCCAGGCTCTTTGTAACAATTAGTTCTCCAGGGAACAAATGGAGCAAGAATTTACTCACCTCAAGGAAGAAGCTATTCTGAGCAATCTGTCCGTGACTCAAACACCTCCCACTAGGCCCCACTTCCAACACTGGGGATCAAATTTCAACACAAGATTTAGAGGGGACAGATATCCAAACTGTATCAAGAAGGCTTTCCAGAAAATGCTCCATTTGAGTGAGAGCTTGAGATAAATGTTCCTTGGGTAGAAGAGGTAGCAAAGAATGACATTCAGGCAAGGGAATAGAACAGGCAAAGGCAGAGGTCAGAGAGAGTAGGGTGTGTCCCAGAAGCAGTGAGTAGGGCAGGGTGGCTAACAGTGGAGTTCACAGTCAGTGTTGGAATATAGAAGGTTGAGGCTGGCAAGGTAGTTGGGGGCTGGACCTCGAAGGGTCTTGGATTCAAAGCGAGAGAGCTGGACACTCTCCTGGGAACAATGGCAGCCCTCAAGGGTCTTTGAGTGACAGAAAGGAGCTCCCACCCCATGAGTTGTGTCCTGGGGGATGATACATTGCAGCAAAAGAGGTCTGGTTTGCACCCAGATCTACCATGTGGCCTTGGGCAGGCCATGCCTCAGGGCTTCAGTCTCCTCCTCTGGCTGGGCCTCTACTTGCACCACCTCAGCACATTCTCACAGCACCCCTGGGGTAAGGTGCCACTACAGTGGTGCTGTGAGAATATGCTGAAGTGGTGCAAGTAGAGGCCCAGCCCAGTGCAGGGACTGGCACAGAGAAGTCTCCCAGCCAAGAAGGCAGCTGCTAGCAGGGTTGGGAGTCATTCTTGTTCTATTTCCTGCCCCTGCAGACACCTGTGAAGCAGACTGCCTACGGAAGCGTGCAGAGCAGAGCTTGCAGGCTGCGATCAAAATCCTGAGGAAATCCATCAGCCGGCAGCAGTTCTATGTCCAGGTCTCAGGCACTGAGTACGAGGTAGCCCAGCGGCCAGCTAAGGCCCTGGAGGGGCAGGGGACGTGTAGCACAGGCCAGGTGCTACAAGACAGCAAATGTGGTGAGTCCTTGCTCATGACCACTCAGAAGTTGACTTGGCAAACTTTCCTCTGTCCTTCCTTGCAGCCAAGGTAAACAGCAGTGGACACACAGAGGAGACAGGCACATAGGAAGGGAACAGAGACACGGAGGCCTGCTGGGGTAGAGCAAAGATGCTGTGATATGTAGGGCCACCAGGAGAGCAGCATGATACTGCAGGGAAGCAGGTGAGGCCGGCCCACAGCAGGCCTTCGTGGGCTATAGGGAAGAGCCTAGAAAAGAATAGCCGACAGGTTCAGGTGAACATGACTGGAGGCTTGACCACACCCCTAGGGAATGGCTTGTTGAGAGGAAATGGATTTAGAGACAGCACCAGCAGCCCAGGTAGTATTGCACCAGACACAGTTCCAGTTCTAGTGGAGTTGACATTCTCATGAGAAAGAGAGCACCTAAAGATACCCACAAGTAAGATGAGACCAAAGGTAACAGGGGGGGCCTTGCAGGATGCTGCTCTGAGTTTGATGGAGACCCACCGGAATGCTCAAAGCAAGGGAGTAGCTTCATCTCTCTGTTGAGGGAAGGCTGAGTGGAGGGGAATGGAATGTGAAGGGAGATGCCAAGCAAGGTTGGGGGGCCTAGAACCAGGGTGGTGGCAGGACAGGTAGAAAGAATATGACACATTCAGAGTACACTGGAGAGGGAAGTTAGGAAGACAGGAGCTTCAAGGATGACTCCAAGAGTTGGGCCACTTGGACAGAGGTGGCATCACTTCCTGACCTGGGGAAAGTTGAAGAGCAGGTTGGGGAAGACAGAGCGTCCAGACTGGACATGTTTCTTCTGGGACGCTCATGAGTTCTCCATGAGAAGATGTTGAATGGACAGTTGGAGCCACAAATCTGGATCTAGCTCAAAGAATAGGCCAGCCAGGTTGTAAACTGGGAAGCTGCTGGAGAAGAGGTGATGTTTAGCGGGGAAGGGGTTGGTAGGGGAGCTGGGACTCAGGCTCAGATGAGGGGTGGGGGGAGATAGAGCTGCATGACATGGGGGAATGAAGTGGGGTTTGGTGATGTCATTCTGTTATTTTTAATAACTTGTTTTGAAATTATTTCAAACTTTCAGAAATGTTATCAGACAAAAAACAAAAAAACTTTTCTATTTTCTTCATTCAGATTCCCAACTGTGAACATGTTTGTAGCATTTGCTCCATCATGCTCTCTTGTGTGTGTATGCATGTGTGTGCGTGTGCATGCATGCCTAAGTGTATGTGTGCACGTGTGTGTCTGTGTGGTCTTTAAAATCTAACCCACCTTTGGGAGGCCGAGGTGAGTGGATTGCCTGAGCCCACAGATTCATGACCCACCTGGGCAACTTGGCAAGATCTCATCTCTACAATAAATCAAAAAATTAGCCGGGCATGGTAGCGCACGCCTGTAGTTCCAGCTACTTGGAAGGCTGAGGCGGAAGGATCGCCAGAGCCCAGCAGGTCGAGGCTGTGGTGGCTGGGAGCATGCCACTGCCCTCCAGCCTGGGCAACAGAGTGAGACTCCAACTCAAAAAAAAAAAAAACCCAACCCACACACCCCATTCAATTTCAGCAATCCTTCCAACAGTGTCCCTTTTGTCTTCCTGGTCCTTGCTCCTATCCAAAAAGACCTGCTACATTTCATTGTGACTCTTCAGATTCCTTCAGTCAGGAGTGGTTCCTCACTTTTCTCTGCCTCGCCAGTCCTTGGCATGACCTTACATCCTCTAGGCTGACCCTCAAGGCTCCCTCTGGTGTCTCCTCATGACCCAACTCAGGGCCCCAGGGTCCCAGCGGGAACCATAGCCAAGAAGCCAGCACCCTCATCAGCAGGCACAGGATAGTGACCCAGTCCCCACTGGCTCCTCCCCTTCATTCACCATTCTCCTCTAGGAGTGATCAGTATTTTCTGGGGTTATATTCCGAGTTTGTACCAGTACAGTATGTCCCCTACATAATAATCTTCAAGTTGCAAACTTTCAAAGATGCGAATGTGTGTTCACATATCCAGTCACATAAGTTAGTTCACATATCTGGTGCATTCTGCACAAGTGGTTGTACTTTTGTGTACTTTACCGTGGGGGTTCCCAACCCTTGGGTTATGGACCAGAACTGGTTAGGAACCAGATCACACAGCAAGAGATGAGCAGCAGGCAAGCAATCAAAGTTCCATCTATATTTACAACCACTCCCCATTGCTTGCATTACCGTCTGAGTTCCACCTCCTGTCAGATTAGTGGAGCTTATTCTCATAGGAGCGGAAACCCTATTGTGAACTACACACACAAAGGATCTAGGTTGCATGCTCCTTAAGAGTCTCTAATGCCTAATAATCTGAGGTGAAGCTGAGGTGGTGATGCTAGCATTGGGGAACAGCTGCAAATAGAGATTAACATTAGCAGTGAGGTTTGGCTGCACAGAGACCGTAATAAATCAATTGCTTGCAGACTCATATCAAAACCCTATCAATGAGTGGCAAGTGAGTTGATGTATTTCAGTTGTACAGCTGCATCTGGTGGCAGGCTTTATGCCAGAATCCAACACTTATTTTAGTCTGCACGTGGCCAACCTATTATTTTATTTGCCACTTCCATCCATACCTCTTTTTTTATGATGAGTTGTATAATTATTAAATTATATATTACAATGTGATAATAAAAGAAATAAAGTGCACAATATATGTTATGCACTTGAATCATCCTGAAACCACACCTCCACCCCCTACCCAGTCTGTGGAAAAATTGTCTTCCATGAAACTGATCCCTGATGCTAAAAAGGTTGGAGGTCACTGCTTTACTGTACAGTACCGTATAGAGTGCAGTATCTGTATTTCAAGCCCAGGATGTCCAGAAATAAGTATTAAAGCAGTGATGTAGCTGGTATTGTAGAACCGATTGTGTTAGTTGAGGACCTAGGCTAACTGTGTTGGACTTAAGAACAAATTGGACTTACAATCGTGATTTTAGAATGGAACTCGTTCATATGTAGGGGACTTACTGTATCCTGCTCCTCATCAAACTTCTGCCCACCAGCCATAGCATTCATTGACATCTCCCACCAAATCAACCACCTCTGTGAGGGCAGCTAAACAAGGACTGTTCCATCATTCCTTCCACGTTTACTAGTTAGCATTCTCCCTTCCTGCCCGTGTATGTCTGTGTCTGTGTCACTGTGTGTCCATTTACCCATGTGTGTCCATCTACATCCATGTGGACTCAGAGATTCCACTTTCACTCACTAGGGTGAAAATCATTCCTAATATGATTTAGCTCAATGGTCAGACTGTCCCCAGTATAGCCAGTGGACACCCCATCAGGCTGGCTCCTGTGTCCTTCTCACCTGTCCCTCACACACTTTGAGATCCCCTTACTTTTGGCAACACAGGAATTTCAGACTCAACTTATACTTTCCCTCCCTGAGCCCTGGAATCAACCAATCTCCAAGGACCCATAGTTCCTTTGAGAGGAGAATGGTATGTAAAACCAAAATCCAGGCTAGTCTTTGCTACTGGAGTATCACTGCTTCTAGACCCTCTCATTGGACAGAACTAGAGATAGATATGTATATACATACATACACATCCATCTGTGGTAGTGGGTGCTTTCTAAACCCATGAGTTGATATCAGTACCTTCAACTCCCCCTTTCTGGGTTTGTAAATATCTTCTCCAGCAGTTAGAAACTTGTCTTCCCTTCTCCTCAGTTTGCTTATTTACTCATTTCCTTACTCATCAATTTACCGATTTCCTTAGTGAAGCCAACTGCACTGCACTGTCTTGGCCCAGCATCTCTTCTTTATCCGCTCCCTCATGGCCTCCCACTCTCAGCCACCAAGCCCTCTTGCCCAAGCCTCTTTGCAGCCCTCAGCCCCTCTGCACTACTCCCCCCGCCACACAGAAAGGACAGGGGAGCAGAGGGGAGCTGGTTTTAGATCAAATGACTGTGGGATGTCCAGGTGGAAACATCCTGGAGGCAGTTTGGTAAAAGCCTCCATGTCAACAAGCCCAGGCTGTAGAGCAGAGAGAATAAGGGGGTTGGGGGACCACAGGCATTTATAGGAGGGCGAAAACAGAGGGGTCTACAGAGAACTCAGAAGGAACAGCCAGAGGGATTGGGCCTCTAAGGTCCCCACAGACGGCTGCCATCTGGGTTCTTCCCCAAGCTCTTCTGGAATGAGTCTGGGACCCCTCTGTGTCCTTTGAGCCCAAGGGACCAAGGGCTGTGCCATGTCTGGTAGGGCAGAGCCTGGGTCTAAGCACACAGGAGATGTCCTACCACCTCTGCCCACCCCTGCCCCTAGCAGTCTCTCCACTTTGCCTCCGCAGTGGCCTGCAGGCCTGGCACCCACTTCAGCGGCGAGCTCAGCCAGTGTGTGCCGTGTACACCAGGGACCTACCAGGATGTGGAAGGCCAACTCAGTTGCACACCGTGCCCCCAGCAGCGACGGGCTTGGTCTGGCTGGTGCCCGAAATGTATCCGAATGTGGAGGCGAGTGTGAGGCCCACCCTGGAGGGAGTGGGAGTGGAGGGAGTAGCGGGGCTGGGGCTCTTCCTGTCTTTACTGAGGTTGGCAAAGCAAAGACCCAGCCTAGGTGCCTGATATGGCCGCAGTACACGGTGTTTTCTAAAGCTCTTTGCCATTTCCAAAGCCTTTTACAACTTCCATGCAGCCACTGCTCAGTGCATGATGGAGCCCAGAGTATCAACATGCCTCAGAGTATGCTACAGTTCTGAGCACTTTACTGCACTTGGCGTGATTTCATGTTGCATCGTGCAGTGTGAAAAGGACTTTGCAGCGTGCAAACACGTTATCGTTTACAGATCAACTTGTAGTTATAAGTGCTCTGTGAGTGACTAAACATCTTATGTTTTATGGCATACACCATCATGTTCAAAATGCTTTGCAGAGTGTGCCATACACTTGAGCAAGAACTTTACACAAAGAACTTTAGACGGCTTAGAAAACCCTTTTCAATTTACTGAGCACAATCCAGTTTGCAAAGAGCTTCTCCATTTACTACCCCATCCACTTAACCCCATCTGTGAAATGGGCTTGGAGTCTCCCCGCCATCCTCCCTTCCCAGGCCATCTTGGGGCTCACCCAAGAGAATGCATGGGGAAAGGCTCAACACCCTGAGACGTGTGAGGGAGGAAGAGTGGAGTCCTAGGGTAGGAGAGACCTCTAGCCTTCTCTGGAGTACAAAGAGCTCAGAACCCAGCTCTGAGTCTCTGCAGGCTTCCGGCTGTTCTCTGACCCATGCCCTCTCCAGTAGAGTGGTCTCCACCCCTGACAAGTGACCACTGTTAGAGCAGAGAGTAGTCCCTGATGGGAGAATCATCCTTTGGTTATAAGCTGAGAGAATGCCAGGATCTGGGCTGAGAGAACACTAACCTCTCCACCCCCACTCAATGCCAGAATATCCTCTGCATCCTGACTTCCTGCTGGAAAGACAGAACATTTTTTCTATATGCTATATATATATATATATATAAATAGAAATGAGGTCTTGCTATGTTGCCCAAGCTGGTCTCAAACTCCTGGCCTCAAGCAGTCCTCCTGTCTTGGCCTTCCAAAATGCTTGGATTACAAGTGTGAGTCACCGCACCCAGTCTAGAACATTCTTTATGTTGAGCTGAAATTGGCTTTCCTGTAGTCCCTTCCCTTTGTCCCAGTGGTGCCCTCCCCAGACCCTCCCTCTCTGCTCTGGCCCAGCACTGCCGATAGACAAGGCAGCAGCATCCCAGAGCTGAGTGGGGCAGTTCCTCCTGCAATGACACTGTGCAGCCTGCCCCTGGGGAGAACCCCTCTGTAATGAATGTCTTCCCTGCTCCACATGTGGAGTCCCCACTTCCCTCCCAGCTCAGTAACTGGGCCACCTGCTCTTTCTTCTTTTTTCCTGGAGACAGGGTCTCACTCTGTCACCCAGGCTGTAGTACAGTGGCACATGATCCTAGCTCACTACATCCTCGAACTCCTGGGCTCAAGTGATCCTCCCACCTCAGCCCCCCAAGTAGCTGGGAATACAAATGTGATCTACTATACCCGATGCCACTTGCTCTTTAACCCCCAGCCCCTCTTCCTGGTGGGAGAAATAAAAGGCTTGGCCAAGTCTGCACAGTGAACCACTGGCAGCATCCAGACCAAGTGCCAGGCTCCCCAGGCTGCTGTGTTCTCCCCACCCCAGGCCTTTGTTGCCCCGATGCCTTTTCCAGGGTCAGGCAAGGGTCTGAGGCCCACCCACAGCCTCAGTGACTGCAGCACCCCTCCCATCAGCCTGAGCCTTGACCTCTGACTTCCAGGCCAGTGCTCTCCAGGCTTCTTCTCAGTCGACGGCTTCAAGCCCTGCCAGGCCTGCCCCGTGGGCACATACCAGCCCGAGCCCGGGCGCACCGGCTGCTTCCCCTGCGGAGGTGGGCTGCTTACCAAGCACGAGGGCACTGCCTCCTTCCAGGACTGTGAGGCCAAAGGTGAGGATGCCCCCATCTGCCCACCCCAAGGGGCAAAGCTGGACTGCTCAGACATGTTTTCCGTGAACCCCTCTCATCTCTGCATGGCCAACCTCCCAGGTCAGAGAAGGAACCTGGCACCATCAGATGGACATGGGTGGCCAGCACTGTGCCATACACTAAAACAGGGACAGTAATTCCAGTCTTGAGCTTACTGAGCACCAAGGGGGAGCTGCCAGCTCCTCAAGGCACTGGGGAGGGCTTCTGGGAGCAGAAGGCCTTGAGCAGCGTCTCCAAAGGAGGTTGGGAGAATGAGGAAGATGCAGGAGTGTGGTGCAGGGTGAATCAGGGCAGATTCACCTCAACTGGAGCCCTCCTTCAGGGCCCCCAGTCCTGCCCGGTTCTTCATCCAGCCCCTTCCCCCTTCTCACTCACCTGCCCCTCACCCTCCTCAGCTGCTGACCCTGCATTCCCTCTATACCTCTCAGCATCTATCCGTCTGTACTGTCAGCAGAGGCCAGGTGGTTCTCAGTCCCACGGAGACTGCTGTGTCGCCAGATACTCCCCTGAGATTTTACTAACTGCTCTGAATTCTCCCTTTCTAAAGCAAGAAATGCCCACCTTCTAAGCCCCTACCCTCGGGCTCCGGCCATGTTTTTCTCCTTCTTCCGCAACCTTGTAGAAAGAGAGTCTGGGCACACTGACTCCGCTTCCTCTCCTCCCTTTCTTCCCTGAGCTCCTCTAATCACACTGTCATCCCCACTGCTCCCTGAAAATTGCTCCCATCAAGGTGGCCAGGGCAGTCCCGGCATTGCTGAAGCCAACATCAGTTCAGTCTGAATCTGCCACGTGACCCTTTCCACCAAGTGCTCTTTCTGGCCTCCGGGAGACCGTGTGTCTTTGCTTGGACCTCCTCCCCTCCCCTGAGCTGTGGTGGACCAAGAGTTGTGGGAGGTCGGGGGCTGGTGGGGAAGGGCCTGGAACTCTGTGCGAGACCTAGAGGACATGAGAGGCCCCGGGGAGAATGCTCCCCTGCTCTGCCCTTTCCCAGCACCTCCCCTGTGGGCTCCTCCCCTGCAGTGCACTGCTCCCCCGGCCACCACTACAACACCACCACCCACCGGTGCATCCGCTGCCCTGTCGGCACCTACCAGCCAGAGTTTGGCCAGAACCACTGTATCACCTGTCCAGGCAACACCAGCACTGACTTCGATGGCTCCACCAACGTCACACACTGCAAAAGTAGGTGCTGCTCTTCCACAGCAGGAAGCTGGGGTGTGGGCGGGGCGGGGAAGGTTGTGGAGGCAGGGCAAAACCTGATCTCCTGATCTATCACATCCCTGGAGTCCAGTGGCACCAAAGAGGCAACTTTGGCTTGGCCCATTTTACAGAGCCACACAGTTGTGCCCATCACCCATCAGTTTCCATCACTCAGCAGACACAGCCAGAGCCTCTGCCCCGAGCCAGGCCCTGCTCCAGTTTCTAGGTCTGCAGGGGCACTGATGGGACCTGATAGAGAAGAGAGGGACTCCAGGCCCTCTCAGCACTCCTGACAAAGCCCAGCCACAGAGGAGTAGGGTGTCCTGTGTCAGGCAAGCCCAGTAAGAAGCAGCCACTCAGACTGGGCCTCAGAAAACCCCCAGGCATGCATGGGGGACCTCTCCTTCCACTCAGGGGCAGCCCAGGCAGGGTCCCCAAGGGAGGTTGGCTCAGAGCCTGGCTGGCTGGTGTGGGAGGGTTGGGTGGAGACTGGGCCAAGGAGGGGACAGGGACACCTGCCAGCCCTGCCCTCAGCCTCCCAGGCTACTGGGGCCCCGGCCCAGGTACCTGGCCAACCGAGCCTTATCAGGCCCCCCGGGCCACTGCACCCACAGACCAGCACTGCGGTGGCGAGCTTGGCGACTACACGGGCTACATCGAGTCCCCCAACTACCCTGGTGACTACCCAGCCAATGCCGAGTGCGTGTGGCACATCGCGCCCCCGCCCAAGCGCCGGATCCTCATTGTGGTCCCCGAGATCTTCCTGCCCATCGAAGATGAGTGTGGCGATGTTCTGGTCATGAGGAAGAGCGGTACGTGTGAGGTGGGGTGGGGTCAGGAGGAAGAGGCAGCCTCGGCCACCTGTACACTCTCCTCTTGGTGCAGGGAGGGTGGCCCTGGGGCTCGGAGAGGACAGGCCACTTGGAGTTCACCTGTGAGACAGGATTGAAATTCGCTTGAGTCTGATTGTAGAAAGATAGCAGAACTCTATGGAAATATCCAGAAACCAGAGGGTATGCTCTCAGTGTGGGATCCAGGACCTAGCCAGGTCTGGTCTCAACTCGGGCCACAAGCCAGCCTCTCAGCCCAGTTGTCTGACCAGCATCAGGGCCCCTTCCCACTGCTTCCTATGGTACATGCAGAGTGAGACCTGGGGCAAGACCTTCAGCTCCACAGGCCTTCTACTAGCCCTCTGTGGTTGTGGGCAGTGAGGGCCAGCCCGTGCACACACACAAAGTGCCTGGGTCGGACTGCCCAGCCCCCAGCCCCAGACTCCTGGGGGTCAGCCCCTACCAAGGGCTTATTTTGAGACTTCAGGTGAGTGGAGGATGGAATGGCGTGAGCAGAGGACCCGCGCTCAGCAGTATGTGAACAAGTGTGTGCCCAGATAGCTAGGGGCTGTGGACACCTATAGGGAGCAAACTCCGCATCAGAGTGTTGGGGAGGAAGACCAGGAACCCACACAGGACAGATCCCGCCCGCCTGGGCCTGGAGTGTCTCTGATACAGAGACTGGCCAGAGGCACGGAGGTGGGGAGGGAGGGAGCCTATTGTTCGCTCTGTGTTGTGTTGTTCCGCTTGAACTGGCCTGCTCAGTGTGTGAATGGGGCGACCAAGGCCACAAAGGGCAAGGGACCTGCCCAGGGCCCCACACCCGGGCTGAGCTCAGCCCCGGACCATCTCCCCCACTCGTCTCCACCACTCACTCCACTGGCCCCCAGCATCCTCCTACTGTCCACCCACAGGACTGAGCTCAAGAGCGGCAGTGCCTCCTACCCGGGGCACCTCAGGAAGGCTCCCAGGGAGCAGTGAGGAGAAGGTCACTCCAGGGTCAGCAGACTCCCCTAGTTCATTCACTCACAGGGAGAGGAGACATCCCAAGTCTGAGCCTCCAGCCCAGAGGCCATGCTGGCTTATCTCCCACACCCTCCTGAGCGTCCACTTCTGTCCTGACTTGGTGCTGGGTGTGGGCACGGACTTGTCATGGAGGAGCAGCTAGCTGGAGGAAAACCAAGACCAACCAATAGAGGGGAACTGTGATAAGAGCAGAGCGGGAATGTAGTAGGTGGAAAGGGACCAGTCAAGGAGGCTTCCTGAAGGAGGGGACGTGGAAGTGGATCTCAGAAGGTTGGGCAGGAACTGGGGTGGAGGGTAGGGAAGGGCACTGAGGCAGAGGGAACCAGCATGAAGACTAGAGAGCTGGCGTGTTTGGGGACCTGGCGTTCATTGCAGGTATAGAGTGGCCGACAGTGTGGGAGGCAAGTGGTCTGAGGCAGGAGGACAGGGCAGTGAAAAACTGCAGATCTGCAGGCTGTTCAGCCATGGCATGCCCCACCCCACAGCCTCACCCACATCTATCACCACCTATGAGACCTGCCAGACCTACGAGAGGCCCATTGCCTTCACCTCTCGCTCCCGGAAGCTCTGGATCCAGTTCAAGTCCAATGAAGGCAACAGCGGCAAAGGGTTCCAAGTGCCCTATGTCACCTATGATGGTAAGATGTGACATCCCATCACAGCATAATGCACACCAGGACCCTGGGACACAGATGAATCACAAGCCCCCACCCTCATAGAGCTCTGGCCTGGCCAGGGACAGAGTCAGAAACAGAATACCAAGGACAGGATGCAGGCAGGCCCGGGAGTGGCCCCGGGTGGCCCAAAGGACCGAGCAGTTGGTGGTGTCTGCAGGCTTTGGTGTGACGTACTGTCCATGCAGGGATTGGAAGCCTAAATAGAGGATTCTTAGGTAGCTAAACCCCCAGGTGGATAGTACAGGAGGCAGAGCTCATCTGGCCAGAGCCTGGAGCCTGTGCTGGAGCAGGGGAGGGCAGAGGCTGGCAGTGAGAGGGCAGCAGGCAGGGTCTCAAGCCCCCGGCTTCCTCTCTCCCTGCTGACGGCTTCCCAGAGGACTACCAGCAACTGATCGAGGACATCGTGCGTGATGGGCGGTTGTACGCCTCGGAGAATCACCAGGACATTTTGAAAGTAAGTGAGTTTATTGGAAGGGATGGTGTCCTATGGTAAACCAGGGCCATCCCTGCCCCAGCCTGACCCTTGGCCCCCTGGAGAAAGGAATACAGGAGGGGGTGGTAATGGGAAAGGAGGCCCTGGGTCACAGGGCCCTGGGGCAGGGACTGGGTCTTGTGCATCTGTCCCTCCGGACCAGGAGGACTGAGCTGAGCTTCCTGGTGGGTTGTGGGGACCAGGACCTGGTGAAGTGGCCTTGGGCAGACTGCTTACCAGTTCTCATCTGTGTTGTGAGGGTTGTCCAACAGGGTGGCATCTTAGAATCAGTGGGATCCACCCAACACCGTTGTTACTTGGAGCCCCATGCCATTGGGACTGGGCTCTCTCCTCTTCCTGCTTCCTGTGTGGTGAGTGGGAAGTGGGCCTTGAGAAGCAAAGCCACTTTGTCATAGAGGGGAGGCTGTGACCCTCACACAGCAAAGGACACTGGCCAGATGTCCAAGGACCTGTTTCTCGCCCTGTGAGCCCAGACCCAGGGGTCTGCTTTGGCTTGGGGTCGGCCCCCAGCTCAGTCCCTGGGCAGCAGCACCCTCAGCCCAGGAGCCCAGAGTGGTGCAGGGACAAGAGCACAGCTGGGGCTTGCAACCCTGCTCCAGCTGTCACTGCATGAGGAGAGGGTGGCTTGGTGGGCTGGGAGAAGATTTACCTGAACCTCTCCAGGCCGTGCCCATTGGCTCTCCACACACAGCAGGCTTGCCTGTCATGCGGTTTGCCCCTGCTGCTGCACTCGGGCTCCTGGCATGTTTCTCAGACCACATCTGTTTCTGCAGCAACCAGTCAGTCATCCTGGCCTCTCTGTCTGTCTTATAGCCAGTGCTGGGCCCGCTCCTCCTTGCCTCTCGGCCCCCCGGCCCTGTCCTCAGCTCCTCCCTGCAACTGGGAACATCTCTTCCAACTGGCCGTGTTTCTGCCACTGCCGTTAGGACACAGCCCTTGACCAGCAGGGCAGCGCTGCCTCTGCAACAGCTTTTGGTGCTTCATGCCCACTGCACCCACTCGCCAGTGCCTCTCTGGAACATTTTTCCCATCCCTCTCCTCAGTGATTGTCTACCCAGCCTTCCGTCCTCAGCTCAGGGGACCGGCCACACCCTGCACAGACTCTTAGTGTCCCGCATGCTCCCCTTGGCACCCATCAGCACTGCAAATAGGTGTGTTCTACCATGGTTTGGTTCCCGCCACCCCTCTACATTCTGTCTCCAGCAGCCAGCACTGTGTCATGCACAGAGGAGGGGAGGAGTGTGTTTCTCAAAGGCATGGATATGTGTGTATGGTGAGCGGAGGTATGTGGTGAATGAGTGGGTGTGTGTGTAGTGGGTTATGTGGTGAGTGGGCGTGTGTGTAGTAGGTGTGGTGAGTGGGGGCAGGTGTGGGGTGAGTGTGGGGAGGGTGGGGGTGAGTGTGAGGGGTGTGTGGGCAGGGGATGTGTGTGTGGTGAGTGGGGAGTGAGTGTGTAGTGGGTGGGTGTGTGGGAAGTGGATGGGTGTGGGGGGGTGTGGGGAATGGGTTTATGTGGTGAGTGGAGGGGTATGTGGTGGGTGGATGTGTGTGGGCGTGGGGACGTGTGGGGAGTGGCTGCGCATGAGAGAATTTGAGTGTGTGGCAGGACAAGTCCAACCCAAAGGTAGTAAACAAAGCCATGTCACCAAGATGGTGAACCTCTGTGCCCCCAGAAAGTGGTGGTCGCCGAGCACCTTCCCTGGGCCAGGCTCTGGGGACCCTGCCAGGAGCCAGACCCGAGCAGGCCTCATGCCTGCTCCTTAGTTCCCCTCCGGGGTGGCATGGCCCCACCTCAGAAATGAGGACACTGGGGCTCAAAGAGGCAGCTGGCTGGGGCGTGCTGGGACAACCCTATGTGGACAGCATCTGCCCCTCCAAGGTCACTGGGTAAGGACAGCACATTTGCTGCTTGGGTCCTCACAGCAGGCCTATGCCGAGTGCCGCTGTGGACCAGGCTCCTTGCTCACATCAGGCTTTCTTTTTCCTTGAATCCCTGAAAGAAATCATAACTCCTCTGCACAGGGGAAAAGTGAAACTTGGGACAGCAGAGTGATGTCCCCAAGTTAAAGAGTGAGCGGGCAGGTGTGGGAGCGATGGTTTTAAGTCAGGGCTGTTGGCTGCAAGGCCTGTGTGCTTTGCTCCGTGTTCTTTGGTTTTCAAAGTGTTGTGTTTTGCGGCAAGACCCCTTTTCAATAAAATATTATTGGGCTCCCAGGAGCTAAAACCAATAGACTGTTTAAAAACCAGTTCCAGTCGAGCTCGGTGGCTCAGCCTGTAATCCCAGCACTTTGGGAGGCCAAGGTGAGTGGATTGCCTGAGCCCGCGGGTTCGAGACCCGCCTGGGCAACTTGACAAGACCTCATCTCTACAAAAA